TCTTTGGTTTGGACTTGAACACTGGGAGGAAAATCATCACACATTTTGTCTCATTTGATCTACAACCTTATGCGAGGGTGTTATTATCATCTCTATTGTACAGTTGAGGAAACAGGCTCAGAGAGATTGAGTGATTGCACAAGGTCACACAGTAAGAGGTGGGCCAGAATTCAACCCTGGGTCCACTGTTCTATGGCTGTATGATTTAGTCACAGTCGTGGGTATATAAACCGGAGAAACATGGGTCAAACCATAAATGCAATTTATAAGTTGATACAAGCAGGTAGCACAAAGCCAGGTATAGCTGAGCTGACGTTTATGTTTGTACGAAACTCCAGATCATGAAGGGAACTGTGTTCCTCTCTGCCTCTGTTCTCTATTTTCCAATTCCAGTACTACCTTCTCCATGGAACCTTCCAGAACTCTACTATCTCTCCAGTTACTGTCTATACCATTGAGTCCCCAAACTGTCTAGCATCAGCTTTTAAAAATCCAGATCACAGGGCTTCAACTCAGCACTATGGAGAGCTCTAGCAATGGGGTGTGAAAATCTCCGTTTTTAACAAGCAATATGGGGGCATCTCATATGCACATAGTTTTAGGAACCAGCGATGTAGCTGCTCAAAAGTGTGGTCTGTGGACCAGCAGGGCTGGTTCCAACTGGGAGCATGATAGAAATGTGGCATCTTGGAGTGCACCCCTGGCCTGCTAAGTCAGACTCTGCATTTTAATGAGATGCCCAGGCAATTTGCCTGCGTGTTAAAGTTTGAGAAGCTCGTTCTGTCCAACCTGTTAGGCGTAAAAAGTGTCCTCAGATCAGCAGTATCAGCGTCACCCAGGAACTTGTAGAAATCAAATTCTTGGGCCCCACCCTGGACCTACTGAGTCGGAAACTGCAGGGGTGGAGGCCAGGAATCTGTATTTTAACAAGCGCTCTAGGTGTTCTGACGCACACTCAAGTCTGAGAGCCACTGCCTGCCTGGACACAGAGATTACAAAGCTCTTTCCCAGTCGGGAGCCTCTTTGATCCTGGGCATCAGTTGCCCTGCGCTGGAAGCCAGGATGATCAAAAGAGAGCTGCGCCTGGGAGGGCTGTGGAAGCTGCTGATGTCACCCAAGGCTGAACGGGCAAGGCTGTTTCTCCCTGCCCCCACCTCTTGACAGCAGCTTTGAAGGGCTGAGTCAATCCTATTGCTCAGCCTGTGGCTCCATCGTGTATCATCTAGGTATCATTCACTTTTGTCCCTGCCCCTGCCCCCAGGACCTCCCCTCCCCACAGCACAGCCATCCCATTGATTTTCATTTGTTCTTGTAAAGCATGGGCTGTCTGTGCGCATAGAGTTCACACGTTTCCCTCACGATGTGCTACGGACCTCTTTCTGCATCTTTATCGCTCAGCGTGGTCCCTGGAAGGACCCCCTCCATCGGTAGCGTTCACTGAGTCTCTCGCTGCTTCCCCCCTGCCCCCCGAGTATCTCTGGGCTGCGTCTAGCTCCCCCAGCGCCATGTGACGAGATGCCCAGGTGGCTTCCAACTCCTCAGTGCCACCAAGGGCGCTGTGATAAACATCGTCCTCTGCGTCTCCCTGTGGACCAGTGTGAGTTCTCCCATTTTATAGATGGAAAAGCTTGAAATGCTTCCAAACCACGTGACTTGCCCGGGAAGTACAACACAGTGGTTAAGAGCATGACTCTGGTGTCAGACACACTCGGTCGGGTGACCTGGCCCCCGTCCCCTCACCTTTCTGGGCCTTGGTTTTCTCATCCATAAAATGGAGATGATAATATTACCCACCTTATCTGTTTATTATGAAGATTAAAGGAATGACAACCACTTAGCAGCGTCCCTAGCATGTAGTAAGTGCTCTGAGTTCACTGTAATTTTACCTCTCTTTCCAGAAACTGCCTTTTGACCTCTTTCACACTGATTTTTGTTTTCTGTTTTGGTCTTGCATTATTAGTAACTATCCTCGCATATCCCCTTTTCAAACCGACCTCCAGCAATGACCCTAAAGGCACTCAGAGAAGGCCTGAGGCCGGTTTGGGGGTTTAGTGCAGGAACCGGGCCGGGGGGCTAGTCTGGGAAGGAGTCAAGGGTGGGCTTGCAAGAAGCTCTGGGGCCGCTGATGGCACTGGTGCTACGAGGGAGGCGGCCAGTGGATGTTGGCGTGTTCCCGGCCCTTGCGGGAAAGCAGCCGTGTAGAACTCGCCAGAGCAGGTGCTTTAAGACCTGGCTGTTGTGTTATGAATTGTATTTTGGCCCAGTTTTAAAGCAGTGGGAGGAGGAGAGTCCTGCCACCCCGGAGGGAAGGTGAGGGTTGTTGCCTCAGTTTGCAGACAATCCCACGTATATCCTGGAGAGGTGCCAGGAAGTGGGGGGAGCCAGGGCCTGAAGCGCGGATGGGAGACCGGCGTCTGGGACCCTAGGCCTGGGCTCACAGGCTGCAGAGCCAGCCTGAGGCCAGCAGAGGGCGCCACACACCTCGGGACAGAGCTGAGGCTGAGGTGAGCTGTGAGGACCAGGCAGGCTGGGAGTGGGGGGACCAAGTGTTCAGTTTGCCTGGGACTGAGGGGTTTCTGTGACAGGAAAGACTCAGGCAAACAGAGATGAGTTTGTTACCCTGACTGGAAGAGGCCGCCACAGAAGTGGCATACACACACATATGTGCACCTCACACACAGGACACAAAAGGGACCCACAGTCGCACCATGCATCCACACATGTGCACAATGCACACCCATGTACTTCACACCACAAGCATAACACACACAACACAGTTGCCCATGTACATGTGTACCACTTGCACAACACATTTGTAACACGCATGCAACACTCAATACACATGTGCAACACACAAATACATGTGCACACATGTACCACATAAACGTGCAAAGCAAGCAGTGCATCTCAATGCACATGTACAGACAAACACAGTACATGTGCACATCAGACCACATGTACAACATATGTGATGTGCATGAGTGCATTATAAATGTATATACGTTTATAACACATGCAGTACACTCACATAGTACATACACAAGCACATCATACACTTGCAACACAGTCACAACACAATATACATGCACACATGTGCCACAAAAACCTAAGTAAAACAAGTACCACATTGCAACACACATGCACAATGTGTGTCATACCACATGCACAACATACACAATGCATACATGTACCACACGTAATGCATATAGACATACATACATAAATATTAACACATCCACAACACACATGCACATGTAACAACACAATGCACAGCTTGTACCTGTGCATATCACACCACAACATACACAGGCACCAGGCACTCAGGCACCACATGATGCATTACATACAACACATATGCACAGCATCTGTTTAACACACACAACACAATGCACCCACATATATGCACATGCACAACACACATGCACAATGCAGACACACATGGTCACATACACACCAGCACCTTTGGTAGCCAGAGACCCTCTTGCTTGAGGCAATGTTTCTGATTGGCAGATGAGGATACTCATCCTTGCTCTAGGCCAATGAAAAGATGTATCCAAGAATTTGAAAACTATGTGCTCCTTCAATTCAGCAGTCATTTCTCTACTGTGTGCCTGGACCTGGGGGTTCCCCACATGGCATCAATGACCATTCATCTCCGGTTGGAATGCATGTTATGAATTAAAACTCCAGAGACCACAAAACTGCAACGGGCTAGGCCTGGCTGGGTCTACGAGTTTCCTGGAAAGAGCTCCTTAGGCCAAGAACTGGAGTCAGAGCAGCAGGGTTGGGACCAGGGAGAGGTGTGTGGGGCACTGGGGACACCAGCTCAGGAGGCTCCGCTCTCCAGCCTTCGCATGACCCAGACAGTGAGTGGCCAAGGAGCCAGGCAGCCAGGCTGAGAGGAACTCCCCCAGGGATCCAAGGAGCAAGTGGTCCTGCTCCCACTGCTGCTCCACACAGATCCTCACCCGGGAACTCTCTAGACTCTGCGAAGAGCGGTGGCTTATAGGGAAGGGACCTATATCACCAAACCACCCAGCTGCATTGCCCCTGGATGCTGGTAACCAGGTTCCCTCCTCTGTGGCCAGCCATGGTGATGGTGTGGGATGGCAGGGGGTGTACCAGATGAGCCGGCCATTCCCCTGGGCACAGCCTGCATGTCATCACACTCCCAGCTTGCCTCCTAGGAGTGGGACCACCCAGCCAGGTTAGGCTGCATCAGCGCAGTATTCTAGCTCCTGGGCACTGGAACTGTCCCCTTAGTCTAGTGGCATAGAGTGGTGGTTCAGGTAGACTGGAGCTTCTGCCTGGATTCAAATCCCTGCATTGGCACCTACTAGCTGGTTGACTGTGGGCAAGTCACTTGACCTCTCTGTTCCTTATTTTCATACCTATAAAATAGGCATGATGGTAATACTGGCACCCATCCTACAGAGTTGTAAGGACTTCATGAGTTAATACATGAGAAGCTTTTCAAGGAACGCCAGGCACATGGCAAGAGCCACAAAAATGTTAGTTGCAATCGTTATTTTGATCCAAAATAAAAGCAAACACTAACAACAACCATAGTCTTGAAAGGCACTGGAGTCAGAAGTGCCTTGGAGAGTGTCTGCTCCAAGCCCCCTCTGCATTATATAGATGAAGCTGTTTGACCCCATAATCCAGAGACAGGAGGCCAAGAACCCGGGACGGGGAAGAGAAGGAACAAGTACAAGTTCCTCCTTTTCTGTTTCTAGGACAGTTGTCCTCATCTGGAGGGCTAGTTCAATACAGACCACTGGACCCCCCCAGGGCTTCCGACTCCGTGGGTCTGGGATGGGATCTGAGACTATGCTTTTCTAACAAGTCCCCAGGTGACGCTGCTGCCACTGCTGGTCCCTGGACCGCACCTTGAGAAGTGCTGCCCTGAGGACAGAGGAGGCAGAGTGCAGAAAGTTCGCATCCTGGCGTTTGCTGATTGCACTCCAGTACCAGGGAAGGGAAGCAAGGGCCTTACTTACAGCGGATGCCGTACCTCCGGCAGCGCCCTCTGCAGGGGGATGCGGGCGCTGAGCGCCTCCTCCAGGCTGAGAGGCGTCAGCTCATCTTCAGATACCTCCTGGTCCTCCTCCTCGGCCCCCCAGTCCCTCTCTGGGGCCTCTTTGTCCTGCCTCCTGCTTGGCTGCTTGATGAGCCGGTAGCTGCCACCTCTCCTGTCCTGGCTCTGGTTCCTCCTGACCCTGGGTGAGGCCACGGCCACCAGGAGCTGATCCTCCTGCAGCGAGATAAAGGGCAACAGGCCCTCCAGGGAGTCATACTCTTGGCCGTCATCCTCGGCCTCCAGCACCCATTCCTGGGATTCCCCAAAGTTCAGGCGGTACCCAGCTTCAGGGCTGTGCTCGGCGACCTGGGCTGTGACAGCCTGGTGCAGGGCATGCGGGGGAGGATGCAGCATGGCCACCAGCAGCAGCACGCACCCCAGCATCAGGAGGAGCAGCAGGAACTGCAGTCTGCATGGTCCATGCCTGCATCGCTTCCTTAGGAGCATGTTGCTGGAACTTGCCAAATGCAACAGGTCATGTTCAAGTTCACTTTCTCTTCCTGCTGCAGGTTCCTTCAAGCTGGCAGCAGAACCTGGGTTCCTGGTTCCACCTGGAAGTTCTTTGATCGTCACTTAACCTGCTCCTTTTTTTCCCATCTGACCTTTGCCAACAGCGGGTGTAAGACTGGCTTCGCTTATAGTCAGAAAGTCACAGGACCCAAGCCCCACCCAGTCCTCTCTGAGTGGATTTCTTTAATTGCCTTCTGAAAGCCCACTCACAGGGACTTCAAATGGAATTGTTTGCCCCCCTTTTTCTCCTTGGGAAAAAAATCATTATTCCATTCTGCTCAGGGGTTTAGTCCCGTGTATTTCGTTTCCCCCCTTGCACGAATGGTCAGGTTGCTATGCGATGTCTGGGGGGAGCTGGTGGGTCCTCAGTCCAGCAGAGGTGACAGCCGTGCTCCTTTGGATGCTGCAAGTCAGGTCAGATCAACAGATGTGAAGCCGGCAGGCGGTGCCTGGTTTCCTTTCACACATAGCTCTGCGCTCAGCCAGAGAGCCTCTGCCAGACACCGCGGGAGCCAGGCGTGCGCCTCGCCCCTGGTCCTAATGCCCTCACTGTTCCCAGGCTCTGCACAACCACACGGAACACAACTCCGGGGCGGGGTGGGGGTGGGGTAGGGGGGATAAAAGCCGTCACTGCTGGCACCAAACCCAAACAGGAACATTCCAGGAGGTCGGATTTGAATTTCCTTCATAGGATGACTTCTTTCCCCACCCAAAGGGGCAGGACAGAGTATTCCCTCCCGACTTCAGAAAGGCTGTACGTGTGACGTAAATGCGGGGAGCTGGCTGGCTGTTTGCATCCTCAGCCTCCCACAGGTGATCCATGAAGCTGGACAGGACTCTCCCTCCCTTCCTGAGGGCCACTGTCCTGGTCTTTCTGAAAATGAGGGAAGCTATGGGAGAGGCTCTTTTAAGCCCTTTTTGCCCACAGGAGCATCTGAATGCCTATGATGCACTGGCCAGTGATGGAGGGACGTTGGAAGAGGCGTGGCATGTTCCTTCAGACAGAAAACTTCCTCATTCAACCAACAAATATTAATGAGCAGCTACTATGTGGAACCGATTCTCGGGACTGGGAGGACAGCAATGAATGAAACAGACCAAAATTTGTGCCTCTTGGAGCTTACATTCAAGTGGGAGAGACAGACAGATAGATAATCAATTAAAACATACAGCGGGTGAGATGGTGATAAGAACCAAGGAGAAAAACAGAGCAGGAAAGGGGGCTGTGAGCGAGGGCCGGCAGTTGACAACTGACGCTGAGTGGAGAGGGGAGATTTCACAGGAGAGTTAGCACCTGGGGAAGGAGGAGGGCGAGGCGGCTGTCCAGGGATGAGCATTTTGGGCAAAGAGGATAAAGAATGGGAAGGGCCTGAGGTGAGGGAGTGCCTGGCCTGTTTCAGGAACAGCAGAGCACCAGGTGGCTGGAACAGAGTGGGCAAGTGGAGTGTGATGGGAAATGGAATGAGAGGGTAAGAGGGGAAAGAGGGCAGGGGAGATCGGGTAGGACCTTGCAGGGCATGCTGGGGATTTTGGCTTTTCTTCTCAGTGAGATGAGAGCCCTTGGAGGGTGGTGAGCAGAGGAGAGACATGATCGACTTGGATTCTAACTGGCTCGCTCTGGCTGCTGTGCTGAGAGTAGACAGTGGGAGAGCAAAGGGCAGCATCAGGGAGGCCCATGAAAGTCTCACTTCAGTGGGAACAGGTGAGGACGTGGACCAACCTGGTACCAGTGGAGGTGGTGAGAGGAGGTCACCTTCTGGACATACTTTAAGGAAGAACCTATAGGATTTGCTAATGAATTGATGTCTTGTATGAGAGAAAGACAAGAGTCAAGGATGATTTCAAGTTTCCAACTGCCTGAGCAGTTGGAAGAGTAGAGTTACCATCAACTGAGATGGGGAAAGCCAGGAGCAGAGAAAAGGAGGTGAAGAGCAGTGGCTCGGCTTGGGACATGCGATGTTGGAGATGTCTTAGACAGCCAAGGGCAGCTGAAGGGGAGGCAGCTGGATGTATGATAGCTGGAGGTCAGGGGAGAGGTCTGGCCTCAGATGTGAAGTTGGACACCAGTGGCACACAGAAGACGTTTGAGGCCGTGAGACCCAAGATCCGGGGGCAGCGATGTGGACAGGAGAGAGAAGGGAATCGAGCATGCTCAGAGCGCTCGGGCTCCTGGCTTCTGGCTGGAACAGGTTGACTCTGGGTACCTACCCATCACTGTGAGGTGGGTTTCTCCTGACAGCTGTAAAGCGGCAAGGCTGTCCTGTAACCAGGAGTGGAGTGGGGACAACTGACATTGGGGGTTCCTGAAGCAAATTGCTAATTGTTTCCGTTTTGATTTTGATCTTAGAATGTGAGCCTAAACATCTTATGGAAAAAAATGTTTTTCCTTTTGACTCACTTGCTTCTTCCTGTGTGTGTGTGTGTGTGTGTGTGTGGTCCTCGAAGCCATCTGTAGAGTCAGAGGTGACATGGTGGGTTACATGAGTTTGCTCTGCTGAGAGCCCAGCACAGTGCCCCGATGCCACTTGCAAACTTCTAGATTAGACTGCATTTTCCAAATCCCACATCAGGGTGTATTGGGGGTGGGAGTTGTGCGACTTTCAGGTTCAAGAGGCAGGCACCCTGGAAGATGAAGTTCAGAATTTCTGGGACATTTTCAGTTTCGTGAGGATAATGAGATAGAAAGCTTCAATTCCAGGAGGCTTTCAGAGAACTGAGTGTGCACAGTCTCCACCCTTGTGGCAGAGCACCCTCCCCCACCCTCTCCAGCAACACTGGCCTCGAAGGTTCCAGGCACATCCCACTCCAGGGCCTTTATCTGTACGACCCTCCACTTGATCGCTCTTGCCCCGGAAATCCAGCCACGTGGCTTATTTCTTCACTTTCGTGTTTACTTGATTGTCTTTTATTCAGTGGGGCCTCTCCTGGCCCACCTTTTGGCATCAGAAGCCCCTCCATCTACGTGTGGCATTCTCCATCCTCTTCCCCTGCTCTCTTTGAGAATCTCTGTGGCTCTTCTCAACAGTCAACAAGTAAGATACTCAGGCCTTTACTGTCTATGCCCCCACCTCACCCCAAAAGGTAACCCTACATGGGGAGGGGTTCTGTTCACTGCTGTTTCCCCAGAGACTGGCCCTGTGTCTGGCACAAACTAGGCATTCAAAAAATGTTTGTCAAATGAATATAGAGACAACTAGATGGCTATTCTGATTCAAGTCAACAAGGTCTGTGTGTCCCCTGAGACTCTGAGATTTGGATCAGCCCTAAAAGGACTCTATACAGCCCATAATCCCAGGTTGATACTTTAAGGCTGCCCTAAAGGACGCAAAATTCCAGGTGCTCTTCAAATGGACAGAGGCCCCTCAAAAACCCTTGAACTGGTCCACACCTGCTGGGATGGTTAAGGGTCAGAATGGACCATCTTGGCATGACTACCACGGAGGGGCTTGGCCGTGCTGCCCTTGGCTCTGACTCCCACCAGGGTCCTGGGGAAACTCACTCTAATGGACCCCTGATGGCCCCCCCACCAAAGTGTCCATTACACAGTTAAAGGAAGGGGCCCCTCTCCTGGGCAACGTAATAAGTGTTACATCTCCACACAGCACAGGACTCAGACTTCCCCACAAATCCCCCGGCTTTTGAAAGTCACCAGGTCTGGGGGGAGCAGCAGGCTTTCCTGACCCCAGGCCACCAGGGCCACGTCCCACCTGCATGCTGTTCTGCCCCCTCTCAGCTCCTGGCTTGCAGGAGTGTTACTTTGCTGCTCATATACCATCTCATAGCCTGATCCTCCCTTTATCACCCAGATGTCAGCAACGCATCTTCGGTCTACAACCCTGTCTCCTAGTTCTGTCCTCATGTAGCTGGAATTTTCTTCTCTATGTCTTCTGCTCAGAAACAAACCAAGCAAGTCATGGATCCCCAAACACAACACAAAAGTCTTTTCCACCTCTACCTTATTCTTCTCAGCCTCAGAAACGAGACTTCCTTGAGGGACATCCCGTCTGTTACTCATTGCCCAAAGCTACACGGGAGCTACGCTGCCCCTGTCCAGGGTTCTTTGGGGGAGAAGGGCCTACACACAGTACTGTGGTACCTGCCCCATCATCAGGGTCCCTCCTCCTCTCTTTCTCACCTGTGTTCCCATCATAGGTTGAATTGTGGCCCCCTAAAAGATGTTGAAGTCCTCCCCCCAGTACATGTGAATGTGGCCTTATGTGGAAATAAGGTCTTTGCAGATGATCAAGTTAAGATGAGGTTATAGGGTGGCCCCTAATCCAATGTTACTGATATCCTTATATGAAGGAGGAATTTGGGCACAGAGACATGCACACAGGGAGAATGCCATGTGAAGAAGAAGTCAGAGATGGGGGTGATGCATCCATGAGCCAGGAAGCAGCAAAGATCACCAGCAAACCACCAGACACCAGGGGAGAGCATGGAACAGATTCTCCTCACAGCCCTCAGAAGGAACCAACCCTGCTGACACCTTGACTTTAGATTTCTAGCTTCCAGAACTGTGAGGAAATAAATTTCTGTTGTTTAAGCCACCCAGGCTGTGGCACTTCATCACAGCAGCTCAGAAAACTAGTACAGTTCCTTTCACCTGACCACCTCCCTCCCTCCTTTCCCTCCACTCTCCCTCTCCCTCTGTCCTTCCATTCTCTCTCTCATTCCATCTCTTTCCCTGTGTCATACTACCTCCTCAGTCCAGGGTCTTGGGCCTGGTCTCCCCATGACAGAGACAACCCTGAAGAAAGGCTCCTCTCAGGACTAGATCTGGCTTGGCTCTGGCCTGGGGTTCTCGGTCCCAGCTTAAGATACGCTAGAGCTGGTGGAGACCCAGACGCGGACCTCTGGTCCCTTGTGAGGCTTGGAGCATCATCCATCGAGGCTCAGAGCTCAGAGAGCTGAGACAGTGAGCACCCCAGTCAGAGAGCCACTGGGGTTTCTGCATGTTGCTTGCTTTAGCTTTTCACTTGCCTGTTTTCTCACAGGCCACAGCACCTTTGGTGTGTAAAACTCTGCTATTTGCCTAGAAAAAAGTTGGAAGTTTTCAGTTCATTTGGGTAGCAGGTTAAAGTGCCTGAACAAATCAGAGACCAAGAGGTTTCACTGAGGGAACAGGGGACGCAAGCTGGTAAGTAAACACTGCCATGCAATAGGAGACCTGGCCCAGGCAATTCAAGAAGATGTCATTGACAGCTGTAAGCCTGGTCACCAGTCTGGTTCCCATCCTAAGCTCAGGTGAAAACAAGAGCAAGAAGCAGGGAGGGCGGGGAGGCAATTCCCCAAGGCACTTACCAGGCGTGTCTTCTGTTTGACTTTGTTATAACACGCGGCGATGGCTATTTGCTTTTTGGTCTTCCTTATGAACAGTGGTTCTGTCTTTGTCTCTCCCACGCCTAGCACAGCACCTGGCTCAGCAACACATGTCAAATAAATGGCTCTCAGAGATGAGATCTGGTGTACACTATACATACGCACTGAGTAAATTGTTGACAATAAGATAACACC